GTTGGCCTTGAGGTACTTCTTGAGTTGGATACGGCTGTGTTGATATTAGTATGAGATTCGAGTACGAGTAGCGGATATAAGACGCGTCGAGTATTGATTGTAGGGAATTGTGCGAAATATAAATAGGGAATCATACCTAGATCCATTGCGCTACGAAAAGAAGTTAGTATATGTATGAAACGTAGAAGTGGATGGAGGAATCAAAACATACCTCTTTCAAGTTGATGATAGCATCAATGATCATGTCTATTATGACGCGTCAGTAATTGACATATGGGAAAATGAAGCTCCACGTTCGATGCATAAGAAGCATGCGATCATAACCATGTATACATAATGTGTATGCGACGTGGTGTTGTGGATTCGGAAGCTATTCCTTACCTTGGTAACTGGCATGGTCGGATGGAGCAGCCTTTGCCTTTGGGGCAGCAACGGTAGTGGTGGCGGCCTTTGGTGGCATTTTGATTGATGTTGGTAAAAGGGATTTAAAAGTAAATTAACTGATTTGAAAGTTGAGATAATGAACAGGAAAGTCCAAAAGGTTATGATTTGAATTGATTGTACGTGGAAAGTTGTTAGTATGTTGAAAGGCAAAAGAGGTTCCGAAAGTTCGTGTTTGGGAAGCGGGGGGGGGGTTTGTTTATGTAGATGCGAGAAAAGGTCTTGGTGATCTTTCCACTGTTTTAAGGGAATTGTTATTACTAGTCCGAATTAAGCAGTTAATTATAAAAAATGCAAACGAAAGGCATTCTGAATTCTAATTTCACGGAAGCTGATTGGTTCAAAGGAGGGAAATGGATGCTTAGTTCAACTGTCTAATACCCCCTCAAAGCTTTCGCCTTGATCATGCGACCCCAACTCGACTTACTCGGTTTTTTTCGCACTTTTCCACATCCCCCTCTCAACTTTTGGGAATCTGCCACACTTTTCTTTCTCTTTTATCTGGGGAGAGGGGATGTTTTGTATTTCCTCTTGATACTGGTGAATCTTGATTTTTCAGCAAAACTATTTTGATCTTTCAATTCAGCGAATTGATGACAAGAGTACACAATGCTTTTGATAGATGATTGATATAAAATTCAAGTCGTCGAGTTTGATGAAGTTGACACATCTTACTATTTTTGCTATTAGACGGAAGGAACGCGTTTGATATTACAATATTTCATGTTATTAGTGATTTCATCAATTAAATAGTTACATCAATTATACCTTTGTTTCAAGATTTGAGTTGTGGTTGCGAGTGCATCAGATTGAATTTTGTGTCGAGATATTTGTTGTTTTTTGAAGCATCACGATCTTTTCTACGTATCTTCAATATCCGCCTGACAATCCACGAAATCACGTTCAATTGTTATAAATCTTATATGAGGGGATGCGTATTTGACATATCATCAAGTGTATATGAAAACAATGTTATTTTGACTCGTTGCTGCTTCAATTATGAGTATCAACGAAAGTTGGCCAATTTTTGACTCGCGATTATTTCAGATTGCGACCGAGACCCCAACTACAATTTTGAATAACTTCCTCGAATTTCTATCAATGCCAATGAAAACACACGCAAATCATTAATCATTTTCTTCCATTGTGAACCATATATAATCATCTTCATCTATCTGTTGGGCTTGCTATGCTAGGTTACGGAGTTTGGCAGGCATACGCAAGGCGACAGCCATAGCATGGAGCATAAGACGAAGAACACTCTCAATATCATTTCGAGATCTCAAGAATTTTTGAAGAGACTATCATTTTCACAATAATCCTCTCCAAAGACATTCCATAGCATTTGGAAATAGCGAGTACTCTGGTGCAACTTTGTCCGGGTGCTCTGAAAGAGTGCGACCGAAAAATGACCCAACTTGGCAAAATCAAAATAGGATTGTGCCACCAAAGTTTAACAGAATTCTAATACAACACAGCCTCAACTAATTTGAAATAAATTTCTATCTACAAGAATACCCATTATTTCTTTATCGATCTGAACAACTTCAATAATTTTTATCGCACTATGCGGTTGATTGAACTGGTGTGGTGTTCACCATGCCACATACCATTCAGCCAACTCATCGCCCAATTCCGACGCTACTCCGATCATGCCACTCCCGATATCAATTCCTAACCCAAAACTCTCGACTTTGTTCAGTGGCATCTATACTCGCATATGCATTTCCGGAAACTATTGTGTCGATGCCACGTGTATTGTTTCAACTTTTGTCAACCACAGATGTGTTCTCCTAAACTAACAACATCCATGGATATTTCGGCAATTGGACGAGTGAGGCTGATAATGTCGACCCTTTAATACTTCACCAATGTCGGCGGTAGGTAATGATGTGATTGACTTTATTTAAGTGCCATCTACTTTCACTGACATCGTCCTTTCGCACAATCTGGCCAGCGTGCAGATCGGCATGCGAATGGCTACGGCTGCTACCTAACTCCTTGGAGTTCGAGCTCTGATTGTCTGTGACATCAGTAAATGGCAACCAATTCTCTACTTCGATATTTACTTCGGTTTGGGAGGTAATTTACAAGTTTGCCACATAGGAATAGAAGAGCCTCTGAAAGTTGAGATTGGTGATGCCTACCTACTTCCTGGGAGGGGATGCATATCGAACTTGCTCTCAATGAACGCTTCTGTGGGATGCATCGTTCATATTCACTCTATTTGACGCACTGCGCCTGCGTTCCTGTTGTCAACCAACTGTGAATGAGATGTCAATTCTTATATCATGCTCCTATTGGTAGATATAAACCAAAGCGGCAGGGGTCAAAGCGCCATACCATGTGATTCGCTCCCTCCCTCTTGGCTTATGCCTCGTCATCAATGCAGGGGTCATTGGCAGAAGTTAGAGCCTAACAACGTTATTGCAGCAATCCGAAACGATGCAATGCACGGGATTTCTGAGCATGATATACATCGTAAGGCAACAGATCATTACCATATGGCAACAAATACGACGATCAATAAATACAACAGACGCTCTTCTCGCGTCGATGCTTCTATCTTTGCATTCACAAATATTTTGCTTCGCCATCCATCAGCCATTCCTTCTTCACTCGATGTCATCATGGAGAGAAGGGACGATGGCGTTGATATAGGATCGGCATCTCTTCATAAACAACCGCCAAGAACAATGGCATTAATTTAGACCATCAACACAATGAACGACAGTGCCATCTCTTCAGAATGCGACTTTGAACTATGAATACTTCATATTTTAAGATTGTTTTCCTCGGAATAGTGTAAACAGACAGCATGGGCTTCTTTTTGACTAAGGGATTTCCGAGCATGAACACCTTTCTGGCCCAATGCGCCTTACCATTGTAAAGTTGGAAGTTAATTTGAAATTTAGTAAGTTGCATGTGAAAGTTAAACTTTCGGGTCTGTCTACTGTTTCCCCTTCTTCTCTCTTCGCTACAATCCTATCCTCAACAGTATCGATTCAACAACACAACCATCAGTCTACAGCTGTAGCTTCTAGTAGCAACGCTCTCAAGATGGATCCTCCTCTTGCCCAGCAAAACCCGACTTTCGTCACAAACATCTTTCCACACCTTCGCAACCTTGATCTCATATGGAATAGTGAATGCCGTTATGTACGATTTAGAATTACCTGCGATACGTCCGATAGTGGTACAATCAGCATCATGGAAGGCCATCTAGTCAATCGCGCACTTGCAGAAAGAGTAGGATTTGAAAGAACGATGGAAAATATAGATACTGAATGCAGCTTAACAATGGCGAGCGTGATATTTGATGAATATGGTCAACTGCAACAAAAGTGGTTCTTTGGGACTCGTAAGGGCTCAGGCATTTGGGATGCTCGTATAAACATTGGTAATTTTCTTATGATTAATTTCGTGGAAGTTGAAGAGCAGTATCGTCGCAGAGGTTTTGCAAAGCACATGGTTTCTGCATTTCTATCTAGGATAAGAGGCTTCAGAATCGGCATCTCATACGTTTTCACATATGTAGGAGAACTGGACGGGGCAGCGAGAAGAGATGCGATTGCGTTTTGGAGAGCAATAGGTTTCAAAAGAATTGGACTGTCGCATGTATTTTGTTTTGCAATGTCAATGGACGACAAATCGAAGATGCCCGATGCGGAAATAGAGGAGGCAGAAAGAGATATATATGATTCTGAAGCTTCATATTCCACAGATTATGAGTTTTCTTCTCCAGCGAAAAGTGATGAAGATGAACAATTGCCCCAGCCGCATACACTTGGGGAATTGAACGAGCTTGACGAGCCCCAGCGGCCGCCCTCTGATGAAGATAATGCATTGGAACATTCCAACAGCCCAAGTCCAGCCATCGATGAAGGAACTCCAGTGGTGGAGCTGTTCAGCCCAAATGTCCAAAGTTCACACACTAGTGTCGAAGAGCCGAATATGAGCACAGAAAATTCGACAGGAAATTCTTGTCAGGGGGATGATAATGAAGATAGGGAGGATATATTCCACTCCTCGCCATCGGAGGATTCGAATTCTCGTTTCCGAGGCTGCTGCGGATTACCGTCATGGTTTAATGGAACATAGCGGGGTGGCAGGACTTGGGTACAGAATTTAGCATTAATCATCGACCTGTAAGGTTAGGACAGCGATCAAATTAAATACTCTTTCTACAAGTTCTGAGACATCGCTTGACTGGATTTCTGAGGGATGAATTGATAATTATTGAAGAATTTCGAATCAATTGGGGATCCGGGAGACATTTGTCTTCGGGAAGCATATATCTCGGAATAGAGGTTGAAACGTGATGTGATCACCAATAGGTTTGAGGATGGAATAAGATCTGTCGCGGAGTGAAGACAACGAAAAACTATAGGGATCGAATAGTTTCGATTGATGTTGGTAAACTGTGAAGAAAGCAAAGCTAAGCTAGGAGGAGAAGCTTTATTTACTCTTCTCCTTAGTCTCCTAATCACGTGATATACACATGCATCCTTTGCACGTGCACCCTGCTCACCAGGAACTCAATTTTGGCCACAGATTTATTAATCAACTTTTAGTATGATGCGATCTACATATACGGATTATGATTAGAAGCTCTAATAACTCACTCGATCTGAATACAGGAGCGATTTATATGGTCGTATTCAAAAACTGAGTGAAGAGAGACTAGCTCAGGAAATCCTCGACATAAAGACGACTCAATTTCTGCTCTTCAGGAAATCACAAGATAAGCCCATCAGTGGGTGTATGAAGTGATGGGGCATTGCAGCAGTGAGCTTGGAGATATCTCCTAACATTTTAATTTTTGTATTTTGGGAATTGTTACACTTATTCATTAGGGATCGAAGAATAGGAAGACAGATTCTGAGGTCGAATAATTGAGGGAGAAATTAGCTGGAAATTCTGAAAGTTTAGAAGTGTCCCGTCAATCCATGGACCTTGATATTGCTACTTATATTGATAGTAGAAAAAGCAATGTTCGAATCATGCTTGAGAATCTCTTTTTGTAGCTGAGCTGGTCGGTAGAGATTATATAACTTAATATTTGATTTCCGTATCGGAATGAAGGGAATCTTGTACAGAACGTTCTCTTAAACTAGGAATTGAGAGCACGAGGGGTTCAAGCAAGAAATCGATTCGAGCTTGTCCATCTTTTAACCGACCGGTATTCCTTAGTGCAGCATTCGAATTCCTCACAGAGTATCTGCTTGATAATTAAGAAAGCTAGCTTGACTCTCGCCCCATTGCAATTCTGTCTTGCATGCAGTGTTCTTAATATTACTATATAGATGAGGCATCTGTTCAGCACTTTATTGAAATGATACCAAACTAACCATTTGCATGATCCCGCCTTGGATCCTGCTGCATCCAATCTCCAGTACAAATCTTCTCAGCTTGATTCCTTAGACCTCACATCTCACACCGGTGCATCATGACTTCTAAAATCCTCGATATTGCTGCCACCGGCAATACTGGCAAGAGTGTCATCCGTCATCTCCTTAAGTTGCTTGAACACAGCAACACCAGCTGCAGCGTTCTTGGCTTGACGCGTTCTCTTTATAGCCCTGCCTCCAAGATGCTTGCTAAGCTGCCTCATGTTGAGATACAGGAGAAGGATTGGACCACTATTGACGCTGCATAGCTTCGAAGTCAGGATGTATCCCGGGTCTACATCGCCCGGCACAACTTGCCGCAGCAATTTGCTGAAGGGTCCGCTCTCCATGTCGCCTTGCTGCAAGCCGGTGTCGAGTACGTGGTTAGAGTATCAACCAATGTGGAGTACATTAGCCCAATTAGTCCTGTGTACTACGGTCGCTCTCACCGGGCCATCGAGAACTTATTGGGCTACATGGAGTTTGGATACCAATTCGACAAGCTGCGTCGTATCGCTAATGGATTACATGGTCTCAACCTAGACACAACAGGGGGCTATAACAGCCTACATATAACAATTCCAATTCACTGTACTGGATATAAGCATGAATATGATATTGAAAATCCATCATTGGTAGTGCGATACTGACTGCATATATGCGCTCAGGCGGCTCAGCACCTCTAAATCTAGGGTGTGCCCACTTTAAACCCTTCCACCCTTTTTATTGGTGATATTAAGGTTAAGCGATAGGATGTATTCCGTGTCTCTGCCGAATTAAGAATCACATGATCGAACATCACGACGGAGATATGCATCTACTGTCACCAGACTATCATCCTAACGTTACCCCCTTTGTTTGGAATCCTTATCTATAGTGTGTCGCTATCAACCTGTTCTTGCAGATGAGAACAGGTACCAAATGCGCAGTCGTGGCGGGGTACTGCTTCTGTCATGACGCGCAACGAGGCACAATGGGGCACAATAAATCAAATATTTCGAATAGTCTTCCATCACAAACCAATTCAACAATCCGCATTTCCCAGCAACTTTTTGCTTTGTTTTTATATCTCATATCCGACAACATGAACCTGCTATTTGCCTCGCTGGCAACCATCGTAAGCTTCTCCTGGTTCTTGAACTACGTATTTGGAGCAAAGCGCGATTCCAAATAACCACCATACATTGATCCAAAATTCCCAGTTATTGGACACGCTGTGGGACTACTTCGGGAGAAGTATGGATATTACATCGCACTTAGGTTTGCTTCTCACTTTATCATTTTCCTTTGGAAAGCGAAATCTTTCAGGCGTTTTGAACTAACGCGTTCGCGACCCAGTGAAAAGTACAAGTTGCGTATCTTTGGTCTTGCCATACCTGGTATGCCTGGTGGTCGAGTCTACATTATCAACTCACCCGAACTTGTTCTTGCTGTCCAAAGACAATCTAATCAGCTCTCATTCTGGCACGTCGAAGCAACTTTCACCGTGGGCATGGCGGGGTTGAGCCCGCATGCAGCGAAGATAGTCACACATAATGTGAGCGGTGAAGAAGAGGGAACGAGTTTTTTCAAGTCGGGCATGACGCTTCAACATCAAGAGATGCAACCGGGTGAACACCTGTTGAACATTACCAGGGATGGCACTCAGAAGCTCGCACGTACCGTTTCGAGACTAGAAGAAATAGCTAGAATTGATCTCAATCAATGGATTGTTGATACGATCATGGACTCCGTAACGGGTAGTTTCTATGGCCCTAGAAACCCATACAAAGACCCGGAAATATCAAAAGCGTTCAGGTAATTTATCAATGTAATAATATGGAAGATCAAATACTAAGTCATGACAGAGACTTTGAGGACAATGCTGTTGGACTCATTTCCTTTCCTCTGCCAAAAGTCACATGCCGAAAAGCGTACCAAGGTCGCGAAAAGATGGTCGATGCATTTCTCAAGTATTATGCGGATGAAGGTCCCAAAACGGCGTCTCAAATTGTCCAATCTCAGGACAGAGTTGCTACCACTTCTGGAATCTCACTCCTCGATAGAGCTCGTATTGACGCTGTTAGTGGGCACGCCATCTTAGCCAACACAACCCCCACGGCATTCTGGACTGTCTTCCATCTTCTCTCAGACCCCAAACTTGTGGAAGAGGTACGAAACGCAGTGGAACCGTTTGTTAAAACTTCAGAGAAAAACGGACATCTTTCTCGCGAGATGGATATCAGTAAGACCAGGGATGTGCCTATCATCAGATCTATTCTGCACGAATCGCTGCGACATTATGCGAATGGGACCGGGACACGAATCGTGCTTCAAGACACCATGCTTGACGATAAATATCTCTTGAAGAAAGATTCATTCATCTTTATGCCGAATCGAGCTTACCATTTTGATGAATCATCCTGGGGAACAGATGCTGACAATTTCGATGCTCATCGTTTTATGAAAAGTAAACCATATCAACCAGGTGCATTCCGAGGCTTTGGTGGCGGCATTAATCTATGTCCAGGAAGGTTTTATGCCATGAATGAGATATCGTTTCTATGCTCAATGCTAGTTTTGCGCTATGATGTCAAGCCGGTTGGTGAGGCATGGATTCATCCAGGAGCTGATATTAGCAACTTGTCCCTAATCATCAATCCTCCAATCAAGGAAGTACTGATGGACTTCAAACCCAGAGCGGGATGGGCTGGTGGCCATTGGTCTTTCACGCTTTAAATGTTACCTCAAGGGTGTATAGTAAGACACGAAGTACACAAATCTCCACCGACTGTGTGTGTGGTCTTTAAACTAGGAAAATATACTCATGTAGAATCAGAATCATTCTTTTAAGAACCATCAGGTAGTATTTGTAAGCCTGCTAGATCAAATCGTTACTCAAATCTGAGCAAGATAAGCGTATTTTTGTATTTAAATTTCGAACAGAACATGCCATAAAAAATGTGATCCAGCCAATACAAATGGACCACTGCTTTGTTGTGGCTTTTTATAGTCACTCTAAATCAACTAGATCGTGAAATTACCCTGCCTTGAGCTCGTGGCACCCCTGGCAAACCTTCAGACCCTGGTGAAATCCTCTTAGGGTTACCTACTTTCCACAGGGTTCTCTCCCTAGATTATTGGTGAATGAACATATAATCTTCTTTTGGGCGCTTCTTCAATGCTCCGTAGGGTTCAAATGTTTTTCCATCACTTGAGGTATAAGTAATATGAGATGTATGAACATGAACTACAGCACAAACTCACTGAACGGCAGTATGGTTTATAAACGGATACTAAATCAACTGAGATGAAATCATGACACTTGCTCCGTTTGATTGCTTGAATCATTTAATCTAGAGAAAGACTTCTTTCTGTTATGTTACTTGACATAGTGCTATCACCAAGATCAAGCTAATTCGCCGCACCTTTTTATGACTTCCTCGATGAAAATTCGAAGGTTCTCATTTTTTATTTCACAAGTTCTAATAAATCACTATATCGCAGCAGCGTAACTAATTGGTTTTTTATATTTTGTTATTATTCATTTTTTTTATGAGGACCAGCGCTCTTGAAATAATGTTAAAGAAAATGGGAAATAGTCGCTCAGAACTCACCTCTCAGTTTTGAAACTTCTTCATCAAGCTTTGTACCTTGGTACCGATTTTTCTACTGATCTTCATGGGTTTAGGAGCAGGAGTAGGAGCAGGAGTAGGAGCGGGAGGATCTTCGCCCGCTAATTCAAAAACCAACATTGGGCACTCGAACTGGGGCATGGATAACCAAGCATGAATTTTTACAACTCGTTTCGCACCTAAGCTCTCTACATGATCAGCAAGCATTCTAACGACCGGCCTTGCGTTGGTAGTTCCCATCAACATCGCAAATTCAGCACTTGCTGTGGAAATGTCGTTGCATGAGAAAGTAACCATGTTGTATTTGTTATCCGCAATTGAAAGTCCTTTGATTTTGAGTGCATCACAAATCGTTGTGTAGGTTCCAACGTTGGATATCGGGGCAATGATGACATACTTGAGTTTTTGCATCTGCAAAGGGTGCATGATTTCTACATCCCCCCCAGTTGGAGAAACATATGTATAGCATGCATCGCGCCACGCTTGAAATAAGAGCTCGCTATTCCAGAGACGGGGCGTATACATATCTGGATTGTCAAGATCTGCATCTGCCCACTGGTTCAGAGTGAAAAAAGTCCCAAACTTCGCAGATGCATAGATTTCGGCTACATTAGCAGACCAGAGATATTGATACTTTTCCTTGTTCGCCGGGTTCACAACTTCTTTGGAGGAGAGACTGTATCTCGACCAGTAGTTACCTTCATACTCAACTCCAAGCTCCGTGAGAACTGTTTCCATGCCATATCTAGAGAAGAAGTCAGAGATTCCCAGAGTGTGGCCTCCGTTGACGTTCACATACCGGATGTTCCAGTCGGGATATGCAACATCTTGGTGGGGAGTATTATTGATAGCGATTCTGTTAGCTTCAAGAACAGCGTGGCCGCGCTCGAGATACTCTATGGGTGTTAGAACTTCTGACTCGCCGGTAGTATAATTGTCGGGATCTTCATATGGATCGTATCTCTGTTTAAGTCGTTCGGGATCATTCAAAACATTGGCGAGATTCGCATCGTAATTGAAGGCTGCGGACATATTTGCGGAAAGTTATGCTTACCGTTGATTGATACTTGTAGTTTTCTTGACAAAGACGTATTCTGGAGTTTTCTTTGTGAAATGTAAGGAACTCGTGAGTAGATGAAGAATATGGTACTAATTGACAAGGGAAGGCGGCTTTATGTAGCCAAGATTGTACTGTTGTTCAATCCATATTTGGGCATCGTTTTGTATTTGTAACAAAGGCATTATACCTGCATCATGAAAGACGACAAAGAAGAACTGTATTTCGGAAGATGTGTGCCTGGCATTGTGTAGAAAACGAAAGTAAAAGTGGTTGGAGACAGTCAGAAATCTCGTCAAAACCAACAGTCTGGGATAGCAGAATCAATGGAAACTTCCAACACATCTGACAACAATTGAATATCTGAGGTTGTGAGAGACTTGACACCATGTGAGGTTTCCAATTGGAGTTAATACGAAGGATGCAAGTAGCTTCTTTCGAAGCCTCGTTCGAACGTTATATGACTGAGGGAGTGATGAAAGGGCACCTTTTTTTTCTGGCGAGGAAGAGATTCATGTCGATATGATTGGATAAGAAGGAGTATTTGTCGATCAATATAAAGTAAAATTGGGTACTGGCAGCATCCGCCACCATTCACATCCACCATTCAAATATCACCTGGGCAGTGGGCATGCCGTGATTCCTATAGAGTTTGGTGCCTGGCTAGAAGGTCATCTCCTCCTACCCTTGAGTTTATTCGTACACTGTGCTGTACTGTGTAGAATTTTCTAGGCAAATCGCGATCAGAGACATTTTCGTCAATTCAAGCCTTTCGTAAGACTCTTGTGTTTCCGTTGGACACGTGTGGCCGAGGAAACTCAAGAATATCTTTTCCACTGGGAGGCGTCGATAAGATACCGGAAAGTCGATAAGTTAGATAAGATTGTCAACTTACCTTGGTATATTGAATTATTTCGTAGTAATTTGTCGTACCTATCTCGCCAGTGAAACTTATTAGCCTGTTGGTGGCTGTCGGGCCAGAACCCCAATATTGGGTTAGCGCACCCAAGGCGTTTTTAGTTCTGATCTCTGCTGAATCTTCGAGCACGTTGTTATTTCCCCAACTTTCATTGGATATCCACAACTTCAGCCAAGAACATGTCAATTATTGCCAACAACCTTTGTTGAATCTTCGCATTACCAGCAAAAAAGCTTCACTGACACAAGATCCTTAGCCATTCAGTATCGGCTAAATGAAAGGCACGTACCTGTTATCTATGAGCCATGTCGCGTGCAATATTGCAGTAAAGGGATATTGATGTACAGGAAAGGTTTGTTTCGTGCCACGAGGATAGCAATGCTCCCCGCTGGTGATCCATTATACGAAGCTATAGACTGCAGCTTGCAGACTGCAGACTGCAGACTGCAGACCCCAGGAAAGCAATATATTCTGGAGGATTTCTAATTCTGGTTGATTCATCGCTCCACGTGTTTGCACCTTCCGAATTTGGAGCCCTTTGGATGTGAATTTGAAATGATTTTGGAGAGCATATCATCTTAAAGCGTGCAGGCATCAAAGTCTGAACTTTTGGAAACGATACTCGACCAATGAATTCAGCACATTCAGAAGCTGCGTGGTACATCTGGGGAAGTTGATTGGTTTCAACGAATCAACGGGCTTGGCGTCAACATAAGGTTGCAAATGGATCCTGCACTAAATTCGGACATCACCTAAAGGGTCCCGGGTCTCTTTGACTTCCCCGTCTGCCCGTCTGGACTCTAGAATTACCAAAAGGTCATCGGCCATTTACAGCCTTCAGAGGCTGAACTCTATTGCTTGAACAGATCGTCAACGGCGCCAAAAATCTCAAAAGTCAGACATCTACATGCTACACAATGGCAAAATCTGAAGCCACAAAACTGATTCTGCGCTTTGCTCGGGGTCGCCAGCCCGATAACCCCAAATGAGTGGTCTGGATATTTATTCACTGCTGAAAATCTAATCTTGGCGACCCGGGAACTGGGACTTTTACTAGAATCAGTCAATGTCATTTTGGGATGCCCAGACTTTGGACTCGGAGCTCCTTGCCTAATAGAATCCACCATGGATTTCACGTTAAAATTCAATTTTCTAAAGTAAGCAACAATTGGGATCCCACCTTGCAAGAAGGAATATAAGGATACCTCGTTCCCTTTTTGCCAAAGTCTCTTTCCCCTCAGTCAAGCACTCGCACCAAATCCTCACCTCAAACTTCGTTGCAAAGGTACTATTCCTTCAATTCGTCGCAATGGTTGCCCCTGCCCCTGCCGTACATACCACCGTAGGTGGAAATTCTGCCTTCCACAACTTCAACAATGACTTCGCTCATATTACAGACGCCAATGAGCGAAGACGTCTTGCTCTTGCCGAGATCGATAGAGCTCCATTCGGATGGTATCACGTCCGTGCCTGTGTTGTCGCAGGTATTGGTTTCTTTACCGATTCCTACGATGTAAGTATATGTAATCACGACACTGGAGAAAGACATCGCTGATGATTGTCGTAGATCTTCGCCATCAACTTGGTCACCTCTATGTTGGGTATAGCATTTTTCCAGAACAGTGTCTCAAAGGGCTCGATTCCAACAACCAGTGATACTGCTATCAAGGTTGCCACTTCCGGTGGAACTGTTATTGGTCAACTTGGTTTCGGATGGCTTGCAGATGTTGTCGGTCGTAAGAAGATGTATGGTCTTGAGTTGATGATTATCATCTTTGCTACTCTCGCTCAAGCCCTTTCTTCTCCGTCACACGCTGTCTCTATCGTCGGTCTATTCATCTTCTGGCGTGTATTGATGGTAAGCCAGCACCCGTTTTAGTTTCCTTGCTTCACATGCTTACATGTTTTAGGGTATCGGTATCGGTGGAGACTATCCTTTGTCAAGTGTTATCACTTCCGAATTCGCAACAACTAAATGGAGAGGAGCTATGATGAACGCGGTATTCGCCATGCAAGGTATTGGGCAATTTACTGCTGCCATCATTGCTTTGATTGTCACCGTAGGTTTCAAAGAGTCCCTCTTGACTGGATCGAAGGCCTCAACTTGCACTGGCGTTTGTCAACTTGCTGTTGACAAGATGTGGCGTGTTATCATGTAAGTTTATCTGCTTCTTTTGGCATGATAAAATGCTAATGGATACTAGCGGTTTCGGTGCCGTCCCAGGTTGCATTGCTCTCTACTATCGTTTGACCATTCCCGAAACACCTCGATACACCTTCGATGTTGCCCGTGATGTTGAACAAGCTACCGAGGATGTACAAGCCTACAAGCATGGAAAGAGCCATGGTGAACCAGATGAGATCACTCGCGCTACCACCAACAATCAAGCTGCTCAAGAACTCGAGATCCCCAAGGCCAGCTGGTCAGACTTTATCGCCCATTACAAGCAATGGAGATTCGGCAAGGTCCTCCTCGGTACAGCAGGTTCATGGTTTTTCCTTGATGTCGCCTACTATGGTCTCGGTCTCAACAACTCCGTCATTCTCTCCGCTATTGGATGGTCCGGTGGCCATAACATGTATGAAGTTTTCTACAAAACTGCCGTTGGTAACCTTATTCTCGTCTGTGCCGGTGCTATTCCTGGATACTGGGTCTCTGTCGCTACAATCGATACTCTCGGCCGTAAGCCGATCCAATTTATGGGCTTCGCCATTCTTACCATTCTCTTTATCATCATCGGATTCGCTTATAACAAACTTTCCGGTCATGCCCTTCTAGCCCTTTACGTCATCGCCCAATTCTTCTTCAACTTCGGTCCTAACTCTACCACTTTCATCGTACCAGGTGAATGTTTCCCTACACGCTACAGATCTACATCTCACGGTATCTCTGCTGCTTCCGGAAAGGTAGGAGCTATCATTGCACAAGTTGTTTTCGGACCACTTCGAACAAAAGGTGCCGCTCCAGGCGCTACTGGCGCTGCAGCCAGCCCATGGTTGAATCATGTTATGCAAATTTTCGCATTGTTCATGTTGTTGGGATTGTTTACCACTTTCCTCATTCCCGAGACCAAGAGAAAGACTCTCGAAGAGTTGGCGGGTGAAGTCCCAGGAACTCCTAATTATGACCCAGCTTTGGCTAGATACACTGCTGGAGCCCAGAAGAGTAGCCACTCGAGTCATGAGGGCATTGCGCATGAGACTCAACCTGAAAAGATCGTTTAAGTTTGTTTGGATATGGATTATGGATTATGGATATAAATAATATGATGTGATACCTAGGGTTTTTGATTGATTGTACGGTTTCAGGGGGTTTACATAGATAATATAAAAAGCACGATGGGTTGTTCTTCTAGTATTGTCTTTTTATGCACAAAATTGTCAGAAATAGTGAATTTTGATGAAAAAAACATTCAAACTTGACATGGTATACTAATTAAGTAGTTCGTGTAGCTTTCCCGCATGGCTTCACTAACAATATCAACCAATGTCTCTCGTACGCTACAACTCTTGACAAAGCGTACGAGGTGAACCCAACCTTTGTCTTGGCTTCTTGCTTGCCTGCGAAAATCGCCGGCATGTCATTCACGCCCTTAAGCTTCTTTTGTAATCACGTGTGCTGCAGCAACGGCTACCCCGCTTCGATTTTGGAGAACTTCAAAAGGCTATCTATATCCATCTGGACATTATACTGAAAATCATAATTTTCATTGAAGTAGATTGGAAATCAGAACGCGTAAGGTTACAAGAGTAGCTTTATCCGAACACGAACTCGGAGTTGAGTATCTTGCAAGGGGAAATATATGAGTCAGAATTGACATCTCAAGTGGGCACAGTCATAACGTGCTTCTACATCTCGCTCACCATAAGTACCTGGAATCTTGCGGTTCAAGGTCTTGTAATACAATCATTTTGTTATTTACTTGTTGAAACTCCTCATCTTGCTGAAGATCCTTACGGCTTTCACAAAGTATCAGAGCATATCGACGCTGCATTCCATTCAGCCCGATCGTTACGGCCTCTATCTCGAAGCAAAAGCCCGATCGCTTCAAAATGCATATTCCATTCACCAACCTCGATGTTTTCACTCATGCCCGTTATCTGGGCAACGCTCTTGCCGTCATCCGTCCCCAGTCACCCAGCACCCTTTCACAAGCCCAAAAATTGCAAATCGCCAAAGAATTCAATCTTTCCGAAGTCGTTTTTCTCCATCTCCCCGAGTCTTCAGACTCCAATCCAAAGGAACTGGTAGTCGATATTTTCACAACTTCCGCCGAGATTCCTTTTGCTGGACATCCTGCTATCGGAACCACATTTTTCGTACTCAATTATTTGGCACTGAAGAGTGTAGAGGCTTTAATCACTAAAGCGGGGAGAATTCCCATCGCGCTTGATGAGGATGGAAAAGTGGCTAGGGCGGAAATCCCACATAATGTACATGTACATGAGAAAACATATCCGTTCAAAAACTTTGAGACAGAAGAAGAAAAGCAATATCCTGTTGTTTCGATCGTTAACGGAATGGCGTTCGTGCTCGTGAATCTTCCTTCTCTGGAACATCTAGCGCGAGCGGCGGAAGCTAAAAATCTAAACCCCAGTTCGTATAATACGGAACATTTAGATGATGGGTGGAGAAATGGTTTGTGTGCGACTATGTATTATGTACATGTTGGGGAAGAACAGGGGAGAAAAAGATATCGAACGAGAATGTTCGAATTGGAAGAAGATTCTGGGACGGGAAGTGCTAGTTGTGCGTTGGCTTGCTATTTGACGAGGAAGGAGGAGGGAAAGGGAGCGAAGGAAATGAAGTTTAGGTTTGAGCAAGGAGTGGAGATGGGGAGGAGGAATGAAATTTTTGTAGATGTGAAGACGAAAGAAGATGGACAGGAAATCGAAAAGGTGGTATTGAGTGGAGAGGCGGTAAAGGTTATGGAGGGGACTTTGGAGATTTAAGAGACGGCTTGTATGTTTTTACCTAGGTCTGAGGATATGGGGGAGGGATATCGATATTCAACTCATCGCCTCATCCTCGCAAACTACCCCGCTTTGACGATTTGATTGGCCTGATTTTATTTTTGAGAGTTTTGTTGCACATCTCATTCCGAAAGTGAGATTATCTCAAACACTCAAGCGATCAACAATATGTACTAGTTACTTATTAGCTTTGCTATCAATGGTTGTCATTGGCTACCTATGAAGAGTGAATAAAACATACTTTTCAAACACTTCCCGCTCCACTTATCTATGCGAGGAAGAGCAATAACTATCCCTTCCATTTCTCTTTTACAAAACTCTATTCAATCATTGAATCTCAAAAATGATGCGGGGTGGAATCCCAGGGTGGAGTTGCCTCCCGTCTTCTAGGTTTATGTCAACACCAATTCAATCACAGCTACAGAGAACTTTACCCGAACATAGAATAGTATCGCACACATACAAACACGAGTTATCTTCTGTTGTCAAAAGTATATTTGTATTATTGATCCTTATTCATATCATAATCTATCAACATTACCAATCACCACCGGAACAAACACATAAGAGTGGAATATTCGAAAACGAAACTAGGAAGCATGATTCAATAACGTACCTACACAAGCACGATACTCTCTATCCACCCACAACCGACTCGCAACAGAAGAAGAAAGCAACCTCTAGGTTTCTCCCAACACCGACATTCTTGCATTCGCTCCATACTGAATCACGCTGTGCACTTTGTTCTAAAATATCCAATACGCATGGAGTGGTATATACTCCTGAAAATGCGAGAGTTCCCAAGAGGGGGTAAGATAAGATGATTCACTATACTCCTAACCCATATCGAGAGTCCATGCAGAAGCTCTGTATTAATCACCAATCCCCCATTCTATGTAATCGAATGCGGTACCTACCTATTATATAAACACCCCACTCATCCCCAAACCCATCCTCTCCACAAACAACCATAGATCAGCGGCGATGATCAACCATGGCAAGTCACTTGTCTTTTCGAAACCTAGACAGGGAAAATCACGGTCATCGAGCTGGATACTCCGATCTACCTTTCTACGGTATGAATCGTTAGTTCTAACGTCTAATAAGTATCATAACGACGAGATTGTGAATTTTTGATGGTGAAAATGTATTTTGATTGTCGATCATCTGTCGCGTTGTCATCTGATCTGTCAACCTTGATTAGGTACCAAGATGAGAAATCCTAGATTTCGGAGATCGATATCCCAAGTTTGAAATATATGTAATCTCATTAACTAGGTACGCAGTGGTGTCTCCGGACTGTGTAGCTTCCTTCGCTGTACCTTTCTACCCCATTCCCTGGGCGGTGTAAAGCTTTGAGTGTTCATCATGGTAATCTACTTGTCGAAGCTCGCTATCATATACCTCTCTATTGCTTGTATGAGTCTGCTCTCTTTGAAGCTAGGAGAAATATTCGGGCATAGAATTGCGGGATTATAATTTTCAGATGCAGTCAGATAGCCTGGTATGGGATATCTCCACGTAAACAGAACTTCTCTTCTGTCTTGAAATATAAATGTATATAAGCACTCACTAGATTCTCATCCGGCGGATATAGGTGAGAGATAGCTCCACGGATAATAGGCAGCAGGGAATGTAAGATCAAAGATTGTGTGCGGAAGCCATACGCTTGAAGATACAAATTTCGTACACGAAATGAATTGCGATGAAGATGGAAATAGAGGCGGACAATAGATATTGTTTTCATTGTCGTACCCTGGATTGCCGATGATAGACTTGTTGTTTCACTATCAAATAACCTTTTCGTGCTAGCAACATCTATCACTTGATCATTTTGCTACTCACTATACCTCGTCCGTATAGTACGAACGAAACTCGCAATTTTTTTTATCTCAAGTAACTGCCATTCAAAAAGTTAAATAAATGAGACCGCAATTTACACCATTTTACTTCCCCTCCTCTTAAATTTATGCCTCTCCCGGTCTTCAGCATCACTCAACTCTTCATTTCCTACATCCCCTTCAACCACTCCACCCTCCTCGAATTTCTCCTCAGTCTTCCTCTTCTTCCCAGCTGAGCTCTTCCTCCTTCCCAAAAGTACTTCCAGAGGCTTCTGCTTATACATCGGATCCTTATTCCTCGTCTGTCTCGTACTCCTTCTCGTCCCCGTCGCTCCCTCACTTCCAGCTTCTGATACTTCATCAGCTTGAACCTTCTTATTCTTAGCCTTCCTCTTTTTCCCCTTTGGATCAATATATTCATGATCGTCCTTCATCAAAATGTCCGGACTCTCCAATGGACTCTCTAGCGGTGTGATCGGAGGACTCTCAAGCTCTTCCTCTTCTGGTACTTTGGGTTTAGGTTTCAGTGCTCCGGGTGCAGCTTTTCTTCCTTTTCCTTTTGAGGGCCTTTCTCCCACCGCTGCGTTTAAAAGCCTCTCCCTCTCCAACCTCTCTTCCGCAATTCTCAATTTCTCCTCGATTCTCTCCTTTTCCGTAACCTCCTCTTTCGCATTATCCTCAACGATCTTGATTTTCCTCTCAAGTTCCTCTTTCATATCCTTGTATGCACGATCTGCAAATCCGAGCTTCAGCTTAAGTTCTTCTACTTCTTCAAGCGTGTTATAGAGATCTGTCTTTGCGACTTTGAGCTCCTCCGATGCAGATTCTTCTTCCTCTGAGAGAATATTACTTGAGTCTGAGAGAGTGCGATGTGAGGATGCACTTTGAGGGCTTTCGGAGGGCGCAGTAGCAGCTATACTTGGACCCGAGCCGCTACCGACTGCGTCCCTCTCAGTGAGTTGGCTTTGCAATCTTGCGACTTCATTTTCTAATTGGGCGATGACACCATGCGCTCCATTTAATCTTCCCTGTAATGTCTCTGCTTCCTCGACCAAACCAGCTGCATGCCTATCTGCGCCCATAACTTCCTTATCAAACTTCTGCTTCCAGACATCCTCATGTTCATCTGAAAGTGCCTTTCCCCTCTCGTACAGCTGCACAAAATGATTCCCCCTTTCATATGCCATTTTAAGATCCTTTTGCAATTTTTTAATTTCATCATTTTCCTCCCGAGCTTTCTTCTCTTTTTCGTATAAGCCTTTGAAAACATTTTTCTGCTCATATGAGTTTTTGAGAGTCCTATTCAACTCTTCTATTTCATCTTCAAACCGACCCGTCATTTCGTCTATCTCCTGCTCCTTATCCGCGACTATCTTGTTGGCTCTTTCAAGGTCCTGTTCGAGTGCCAGATTAGTGGCATTAAGAAATTGAGTATGACCAACTGCTTCATCTCTATCTGCTTCCCCTCTTTCGAGCTCTTCGATTCGGGCTCTAGCTTCTTTGATCTCGGCGCTGAGCTGATATTCTTTAAGAGTACGTGGATGCTCCGAGTGAGAAGGTAATTGGGTAGCAAATGCAATGAGCTGACGAATCCATTCTGCGCCTGCTAATTGTTGTCCTTCTTCAGCTAAATGATACAATGCAGAAATTTCACGAGGTACATCCAAAACAAAATCATTTATTTCATTTGCCCATTTTCTCCAAGTACTTTCTTCAACGGATAAAGCGACTGGTCGATTAAAAACTAGGTCAATCAATTCTTTGACCCAAGTTACACCTGGGAATTGTTGGAGTGGACTCTCTGGCCCCGGGTCTACATCTGGTAGTGCGCCCCCAGGTCGATACAAATTTGCTGCAGCTAGATGGAAGAGACCTTCTACTGCTTGGGGCTTGGCTTGAATGTGATTCCATAGCCTCTCCGACCATTGCCTCCAGACAGCATCTCCGAGGATCTCCGGTCCTGATGAGTGTACCGATTCTTGATCGCCTACATCTGACATTTCTACATCAGACGATTTCTGAGCCTCTGCAGCAGCCAACGTATCCTCCAGGGTTCTTATTGTTAGCGATAACTCCGCAGCGCGATTCTCTAACGTCGTTCGATCTTCTTCCCACGCAATCTTCTCTTCTTGTAGTCGTGAAACTTCTCGCTTTGACGCCTCCACGCGGTAAGAATCCTCAATCTCCCTTACTCCCCGTAATCGTTCAATCTCCTTGTTGGCTTCCTGCAAAGCAACCGAACTATCTTGTAGATTTGACCACTCTTCATTTTGCTTCCTTGATCTTTCAACATCGTCCATTGAAGCGTTCCAATTAAGCTTTAGCTCTTCGGCCCACACTCCCAACCTACGAGCCTCGTGATCAAACTCATCCCTCTCTTTCTTTGCATGCGCTAATTGTCTGACAAGTTCCACAACATCGGGAGGTTGAGGATCATTCGCCAGTTCGAGCGCAACATGTGCACTTTCTAATCGGTCCCTATATCCATTCTGTCCAAATGTTTTTTCATACAAATCGTCGTATTGATGCTGTAGCTCAGTTCTCTCTCGCTGCGCCCTGTGAATTTCGTAAGACTGCGCAGCTTCGGCTTCGGCGGCAGCGCTTTCGAGAGATAGCACTCGCTCAAGATATTTATTTTTTTGCATAACAAATATCTCAGCTAGGTTTGTGCCATTCACATCGAAGCGAGGCAGTACTTGTTCCTCAAGCTCACTGACATATCGTCTTAGGTCATCCCTCTCTTGAACAACTGTCTTGTACGATTGGCGGACTTCTTCACGGGAATCATCATGATCTGGTTGTTCGGAATGTCTTCTCTCAAATCTTGCGGTGTTTCCTGGCTCCATGATTCCGGCATCGCAATTGTATAAATGTTGAAAAGAAACCAAATACCTCGAAGCTGTAGATCTCACTATTGGAGAACAAAGAAGTGGTTGAGTTTGAAAATATACACTAGTCGCCAATTGTTGCCGTCTTATTGCGCCCGAACAAAGAGGAAAAGAAACACAAAGTTACCACTTTTGCACGTTTTTGGCATAGGGTCATTGTACTGATGCACAGTGGCATCCACATGAGAGAAATAATCACCTAGCAACAGCAGTTCTGGGAGAAGAATGCCCATCGTTGGTGTATCAGAACTATGGACTAGTTCAATATTCTTGTTCATATGGATGATACCTTTTTCTTGTGCTGGGACGATCTTCTGCCGGTCATCGTCTATACTCCAACCCTATACCTTTTCGGTCCTTTATGAGATATAAATTTTCGAAAAGAATACCCGAGTTCAAAATCACAATCCCATGTCTCTCTAGTTTTGAATTGGGATTTTACAGTGGCATAGATGTCCATAATTCAGCGTAAATCATGGTCTCGATTAACCTGGGCGTTTTTGAAATCTTATTAAATACTAGCGCTAGATGAGTAACGTTAATTCCGATAGAATTCAAGATTGGTGCATCTCATCGTGGGGATGTCAATTCATTACTTTAATGTTGGAACGAGATTTCATTCCTGTGGTCTTTTTTCAGGCGCCGTCTTGTAAAACTTACTTGACTTGCTGGCCTTGAAGAATGTGGTATCAATCTGTGTCATCAAGCGATTCCATAAAGTTTTGGTTTCTGTGTGCTCATTGGCGCCATGAGATAATTGATCCGACTTTACACCCATCAAGGGAAATTCCGGAGATTGAGTGACAGTTGTACGAACTTTGCTATAACTGAAAATCGTATGAACTAAAACACACCGCGTGATCATACCAAGGTCAATCCCATCCGGATGTGCTATGTTGATTGAATCCACAACTTCTTGTGCTTGAGTTCGACTGAGACCTCGAGCGAGTACGGCTCTCGCTTCCCAAATAGCGTCAGGGGCAAAGTTATAATGCGGAAGATCGTCCTCTAATACCTGACGGAAAGTTTGACGAATGGCTAAGATTTCCGGGATGTCCTCTATTTGCCAGTAAACTTCCCAGTAGCGCCCCAAGCGTGTCATGGCAGGCTTCACTCGTCCCATGTTGAAAGGAGACCTCCAAAATTGTAGAAATCGCATGAAGACTTGGTATTGCCTCCAATTTTGCACTGGCAGACCCTTTATAACTGCAACGTTGGCCCGACCATTGTTCATGCTTGGAGTATATTGAGAGAATTTAGCCACCGTTCTGTCTAACTCTTTTGTGACCTTTTCATCTAGATGTAGACAAATGGTGATAGTTTGATCGATTCTGCGTGGCATCTCCATATCTTGACTGGCCGTCGTGCCGGTTTTGGTTGTCTCGTGTCCTTGGTAGCCGCTGGCCTTTTCGGCAGCCGCTTTCTGAAGTTCCCCAATAGAATCTTTATTGCGTGGCAGACTGTTTTCGAAATCCTGGACTTGTTCCTCACCTATGGCGTTAACTTCGGACACAATCTGTGAGGAAGTAGAATTAGGTTTTGTTTCCAATGTAGTGATCGGCTGCGTCGCGGCATTATAGGGTGAAGGTTCTTTGAATGCCGTATAGCCATCACCCTCAAGTCGATTTAAGAACTTCGTGAACATTTCAAGGTGTGCGTCGGGCTCCTGCGGTATGCCACCGCTAGTATCCTCCATCCTCTTCTCAGTTACTATATCGGGACTCGAATCCTTGACTACTCGGTAGATTTCCATGTTCGTATCGGTTTCCGCAGTCTTCTGAGGATGCGACGCATGAGCGGAATCAGAGTTGTCCAGACTCTGAGCATGGTTTTTGATTCTAGGTGGCTCAGCTCTTATTGGCGATTCATCGCTGGACATTGCTTTGCAGGTCTGTGAGAACTTTCTGGTCATGCCTCGACGTAAGGAATTTGACACCTTGTTAGGACGAAAGTGTCTGGCAGACAGGGCAGATGGAACGACACATCTCGGCATATAAGCTGTGCGTAGCCACATGTTCAACAAGTAAGAATGGAGAAATCCACCCAAGTTCTTCGCCGCAGATGAGTCCAAAGACTTTGTGAGCTTAATGGGTAAATCAAAGCTTTCACCTGATGATCTGATACTACAAAAGAAAAGATTGACTACACAAATGTTATGATATGAACATATTGACTGACGTTTGTTGAGTATATCGTACACCTTACGATATAATCAAAATTCGTTGGACTTGTAATTGTTTGGGTCTGTACTAGATCTGACCTCGGGATAGTCAATTGATTATTTTTGCAAGGAGCTCTCAGCCACAGATACGTCAGATGACAACAGCCAATGAGATCAATTGTACGGTCAGCAGCCATCATGAATCTTTGCGCCTTAGGCATCAAGATACCCATTGCACGAGACCGCGTGGTATGTACTTTTTCAGACCATTCAATCAAAACGGAATCACAGTAAGGCACAAAATTTGTCAGAAATATTCTTAATTCTTATATCACGCCGCCCGTACCATACTTTCCTTCCCCAATCAAGGACAATGAAATTCTGTTCCCCGTTGTTCAGGTCGCAACTGGAAGTTTCGACTTTCATGTCATGTTGATCAACAAAGATCTTACTCCAGCATATGCCTCGATGACACTGGGTGTGATTTGGGTAGCGGGTAGAACGAAACCATAAGTTCCAGTATCTCTCAGTTCAGTGGTGAAAGAGAAATCAGCACCAACGGTTGCATCATGATAATCTACGCTGTTTCCAGTGGCTGCATAAATGGTGGAACAAATAGGACCATATGTGAAAACGGTTCCATAAACAGCTTTCACGGCAGCAACATAACCTGCTGCAAGAGATTGGTGCTTGGCATTGTTCTCTGGTAATGCAGTGCAAGAGTATCCGTAGGCTGTAAATATTAAGTTAGAACCTTTGTACAATTTTCTTTGAAGTTGATTCGACTTACGAGACATCATGAGTTGAGAGTACGAGTGGAAATCAATGAAAAGTTTTAAACCTTGTGCTGCCTTGATCTTGTTTGAGTATGCAGCAAGTGCTTTAGTTTCTTGGGCATCAGCTGCAGCAACTCCTGTATTATATTTAGCACATTTTTGTCAGGTAACCTGGGGCCAATTGACAGTACATACCCCTATAATCTTCATCGCAAGGGTTCGTGGAAGCTCCACCAGCAGTTGACCACTTGTACGCCCAATTTCGATTGATATCTCTACCATAACAAGTTGAAGAGGATGGTGGTGTCTGACGATTCTTACGCCACAATCGGTTGGTACTTTGTGTGTACAAGAAGCCTAAGGTCGAAATTAGCTATGCCAGAAAAGCAACTCTATCGAACTTACCATCAGGATTTACAACTGGGAAAATATAATAGTCATATTTGTCAACAAATCCCTTGATCTCCGTGTTGCTGGCATAATTTGAGAGAAGGTTGTACGCCACATATTCAACAGTCTATAAATGTTAGTGCTGCCACATTGTTGAGATTTTGAAAATTGACTTACCAAAGTTGTGATCCACTCTCTAGCATGCACAGTACCGTGGAAAAGCACGGCTGGCTTAACTCCCTTGCCGGAACTACCATAAATATGAATCCCAGTAATAGGATTGCCTTGAATTGAAGTTCCAGCAGTCACGATCTCAGCATTTGATGGATGTGCAGTGACAAGATCTTTAAGGAATTGTATGTGGTCCGCATATGCATGGTATGCTGTGAACCACGTAGCATTTGGTGCAAGGGCTAATATCTGTTAATTACAGCTCTAGACAACAGAAATGGCACTTACCAGCCTCTATGGAATATGTATCAGCGTGTTCCTCTTCCGCAATAGATTCTCCAAGGTTGTTGTGCATGACCTGTTTTGAGAAATCTTCAGTAATTCTCAAGAAGTTGTCGATCTGCTCGGGTGGTACAACCACGTCAGCTGTTCCAAGTTTGGCAGATTTTTTCCATGTTTGAAGATTCAACGAAGAGACGATGTCATCGATCTTCTCGATATTATTCTTTTGAGCTTTGAGGCGGAAAACTTTGTAGCCATCATAGTTGACCTTTTCTGCAATAGCTAAACCTGCTGCAGCTGCTGCAGTAGCAAGAGTAAATATTTGGGAAAGCTTCATCTTTGCTGAAGTTGATGAATACAATTAGCTAGGTACTACGAGAGGGAGAATGCTGTTTGATATAGATTTCTGTATTGGCAAATTGCGGCTACCAACGGAAACTTTTTTGAAGGAGTTCCTGAACAAGAAGCTCATAACTTCGTCAACAGCACTCATCAAAAGTTACACATATTGAAGATACACATTAAACAAATCATAAGATCAGACTGAAGAAAAATCTGTAGTGACCGGCCTCGGTAGATCCAAATAGGAAGCTGCGATACTTTGCCGAGCATGTTATCTCTCGTGCCAAGGAGGCCAAGGCGTTAAAATAAGGTTAAAATGACTTTGCCTTCCGCATTGTGCGGGGAATCTGCATCTAGGTTCAAATTCATCATTTTGTTCTAGAATTCCATTATCAACCCTTTGAAGATATTTATGACTTCGCATTGTAGCTTGGCTCACTGAAATACAGTTGAAGTTCGGCCAGTGCAGGGGTGTTGAGGCGCCCACGAAGGTCGTGTCGAAGTATGTGAGATTTGCCTGAATTGATCACGCTATGAAATTGCGTTATTATTGGTTCTCCATACTGATTGAGATCTTAGCTTCTAAAGCAGACAACGCTTTCTTCAATAGCGTTGATAGCGCTGCATGTAATGCATCCGCCTTCCAAATCAAGCATCTTCTAAGCACTGCTTTTACATACCAGATTGCTCGATCTCCAAAGGCATTGCAGCCACTTTCACGACCCAATTGAGGCAAAGAATCAACGAGGAAGGTGATAATGTTTATGAACTTCAATTCTTAACATCCAACATCTAACTCATCTCTTGGACCAACATAATTGTACCTGGTCCCATGTCCGTCTATTTTTCCAATACCACATTCCAACACAACCAGCCACTTCAAAGCTGGTCTGTAACTGTGAGCTGAATGTCTCATTAAGGAAAACTTTATAACTTTGATTATCAAGATGCAAATTACTGCTTGTGGGGCAGTACAGTCTCAATTTGTACGAACAGTTCAAGCATCGAAGGAAGAATTTTCGCATGGCGTCAGATTTGGCGGCAGTTCTCCGACTGCCATAGAAAACCACAAACTACCATTGTTGTTTGTCAGGCAAAAAAAAATGTCTAATATGGTGCCTATGAACAAGTCTGCGTCGCCTATGAGGGTTTTCACATGGTATTTGGTTGATCATTCGATGAAACGTCTAATGTTGCAATCTCAAGCTTCATGCTCATGTGCTCAAATGCAAAGTACCTTGAATTGAAATGACACCGCAAACATTCAAATGAGATAAGTCCAGAATTTGTGTAAGATGGAATAAACTTGAGTGTTTGCCTTGATGGCTAAACCACAAAATAATGAGATTCCCACCTATTCAAAGTACGTGAATTGTGATGAAGAGGCGGGAGGGCTGATAGGTAATCTTCTAACACTAAGAACCTAACTACTCATGTATCCATCCTTAACCTCACTAGGCCACTCCCTGAATGCCGCCTCCATCGATAACGCTATATGTCTCGACGCTGTAGCTCTAGGCTTTGGTGTGTTTGGAGGCAATACGAATATATACCTCACCATGAATTTGTCGGAATCGGCCTGTAAATGAGTAACGATTGTAGGAACCGGCGGGTTGGCCACTTCCAGACCTAGTAATATGCCGTAGTCATATAATGGATGACGAACAGCGCTGAGTGCGTCGCGAGCACCCTGTTTGAAAGCATATCGCCACGATACGCCTGGTTTTCCAGCAGTCCAGATTTTTTCGGTCTGGAAACCGTTTTGAAGGATGGAGTGAAGTGTATTGATTGCAGTGCCGTGCCATCGTACCGACGTCTGCCCGTCGTTTCGAATGACAGCTGCGTTAAATCGATCTCGGATTTGTGCTGGTGGATTGAGGACAGCAAATTGCCATATATCGTCTGAAAAGCCAGAAACTTTCAAGAAGTCAGGAGGAGGAAAATAGTTCTGCCCGAAAGTCATCTGCATCCACTTAACCAATCGAAAAACTGGCTCAGGATGATTTTGCTGAAGATATGATATCAAAGCTTCAGATGTTAACTTTTTGGATTCGGGAATTCCTCTAAGAAAAGGCTGTAATTCCTGAACATCAGAAGCAGAACAATCCTCGGATAATTTGAGAAGCCGACGTTTATGATCAATTTGATGATAAAATGACATGAGGAGCAGATAGAGCCCACGATGATTGCCCTCGCATATTTTGGCCATGGCCTTACCCCATCTTATGACAAGCTCTGATTCTTCCCCATGATCTGACATATCAGAATCTTCTGTCCTAATTTCTTCTGCTAGATGGAAGGGAATAGCGAGGGTTTGGAGACGATTGCGGACTGTACCGGTGTTTTCGTGTTTTATATGAGGAGAATTTGAATCTTCGAAGTGCTCGTTTCTACACATGATGGTTTCTTTGGGACTCCTGGCGGCTGACTTAAGAAAGCGATGAAATGTATGGGATGCATACAGATGAAGACAATAGTAACCAGGATGTGTAGCGGACATTGCGAGAAACGATTATTGAAGAGAGTGCAATGATTTATAACGGAGAACCATGTTGTCTTTAGGGTTTTGGCAGGTAGAAACATCTGACTGAAACCACTCATACCTAGCCATCTACCCGTCTATCGAAAAGACCGCCTGAGAAATGATATGGCCATTCTAGAATCTTCCCAAATTCGATGTTCATCCAAGTTTGAAGTTCCTTGTGAAAGATTTTGTCACCTTTGAGTTCCCGCATAGCAAGTATGCCATAGAAAAGCGCTCGAGCTGACAGAACTCGTAAGAATGCGACTAGATACTCTTGATTTACTAAAATTCAAAACAATAGTCGGTTTTGAAAGAAGAAGAATTTTTCCTCGTCAATCCAGAACGAACTATTCTGACAATCAGCTGTCAAGATGAAAAGATACAATCAAGAACAAGCTAGAGTGATACATTGTTCTTTGCCTCCAGAAGAAGAATACTGAGTACATTACCACCTCGGGCTATATCAAGAACGAATGTTCCACAAGGCTAATCATGATCAACAGAAGGAATATAGTAGCCCAGCGTTGGGCCCTCAAGTCTCCCGTCGAGAAGTCAAATCGAAAACCACTCCGAGTCGGTTTCTGTGATTTACAAACCATCTAAAGTTCTAAAGTTACCCATTTTTTCACAGTAGGCTTATCAAACCATATCCTAATATCTGGTAATTTCCAATCGGTATGTCGACGCGCAAAATCCTCCAGTCGTATTTTCAAATTTGAAATTTCGTCCTCGTCTATGAAATCTTCATGTACTCTCAAGCTCAAATTTCTTAATCCGGTAAATTGCATGACATCGCCCCAACAAAAATCGCTCGAATCCCAGAAATCTAGCTGCACTCTGAACTCCAGATTTCGGACCTTTTCTACATCATTTATACCCTCGAGACGACCCCCAACCAACATGAATATGCAGTTAGAACCCGCGTGAGTCAGATTCAAATTGTCTCTTTCAAAATCAACGTATGCTGTTCCTGCTCTGAGGTAAGAGCCAAAAGCTAACTCGTATCTTGTCAATCCGACCTCTCGTGCCTCGCTATTGACATGAAGTATTGTCGGGATAGCGCTTGTATCACCACCACCAAGGATTAAGCTCGCGCTTTCAACAAACCAACCACGGAATGAAAATCGCCCCAAGATGCCTCGATAATTTTTGGATTCGATGTGTAGATCCCGAGGACTGGGTATGCAAAGATGCCAAATTTTGAGACGGAGCTCCGTTGGAAGCTCTGAAAAACGAGAGAACGTGGTGAGCTGTGCCGGAGATGGACCTAACGACTGCGATATGAATTCCATTGCAAATAGCTTCTATAGTTTAGCGGAGCACAAGGGAAGAAACTGGAGGCAATCTGGACAATTTCGATATCGAGATACGTCGTTTATGGAGCAATCGTTCACCTAGCGCAAGGGCGGCACAACGAGGTTAATGAGGACAAATATAATAAATATAACAAAATCTTCAATTGAAGGAGATTAAATTCTGAGCAAAGTGCATCAATAACATGAAGAAATCAGACAGGCCAGAGAATTTTATTTATATTCAAAATTGCTAGATGACGCGTGGTAATCTTGGCTAGCTAGGCACCCAGCTTCAAGTATAAAATAATAAGCAGTTCGTTCCTTCACCATTGCTCTCTGATGATATTATTAAAGCGGCAGCACAGCGGAGATTTTATTTTTGAATGATACAGTGGGGGAATGCGGGGTCGCATCTGGAAACATAGGTGCACACTGCACACCTCCTAACCGCGTTCATTTATTGATCTCTATAATTTCAGTAGCCAATCCATCTTGATTCGGTCAGACTTCGTAGAAATTTATGGGTATCATGATTCCAACTGAACTCTCTATTTCGCACTGTCTAACGCTAAGCAACGACTTACAGAAGAACAAAAAGCTTTGCAGCTGTAATGTTATTTTACGGACCGCCACTCAGGCACTGACCAAATGAACGTATTAGAGAACCATGATTATCTCTTGAGCCCGATATGATAAACAAGACTCCCAAAAATCCTACGAGGGTATCTCAAAGTTATAATCTTCAACCCCTTCATCAGCTCGCTTACGCACAATTTGTAAAAAATTCTTCACCATTTGACCCACACCACCCAGTTGCAGATTTCGTACCCACATTGCGAACGCTTTTTCGTGAAGCTCTTTGAGAGCAAAAGATGAAGAACAAAAGCTATCCATCTGTAGAGGTAGTGCTGAATACCGGTAGTACAAAAGAAATTGGTTGCACACCCAAAACTAAATGACCAGACTGGGGCACGATCCCAGGACCTTGTCCGTAATCTAACAGGTTTTAAGTGTTAAGGACACGTGATAACCAACTACACCATCCGGCCGTTTGTGACATTTGATGGCAGGAAACTTCTGTTTGAATATATGTTGACAGATCAAAAAGAGGGACTGTGTGGACAAGGTTTTAACAAGGAGGAAAGTGGGGTCAAAACCCGGCATGGGTGCTGTAATAAATAGCATCATTCTCATAATTGGACCTCACAGACAAAGCGTTATTCAATAATGGAAAGATTTGATATGTCAAAAGGTCATGAGAAATAATATTACTAGAAATTATAATCTACAATCATACACAATTGTAAAGATTTCCATTCCATTCAGCTTAAGCTTCACCAGGCCAGATATCATCTGCAATACTTCTAACCAAAAGTAACTTGTTCTTCATATCTTCCCATCCTAATGAATTACCCTCCTCGTGACTAGCAAACCCACATTGAGGGCTTACTCCCAATCTCTTTAATGCTTCTTCTCTCGTTTGACCTGCTCCTTTTGCTACTATATCGGCAGCTTCCATAACTCTTGCCTTCATCTCCTCTTTGTCTTCGAGTTCTGGAAACTTTGAGGTGATGACTCCAAGAATAACGTTCTTGTGAGATGGGAGGTAGAGCAGTGGCTCAAAGCCTCCGGCCCGTGGTGTGTCATATTCGAGGTAGTATGTTGCTACATTCAGGTTCTGAAAGAGCTTAGTAGCAATACGATCATAACCTCCTTCGGAAAAGTGACGTGATCCCATAAAGTTACCCCTGCAAATGTGTAGACCAAAATGCATTTTCGAGGTATGTTTCTCGATGCTGTCATTATAACACTTGATATAGGCATCAAGCAACTCTTCAGCAGTTTTAGTGTTAGATTTGTCTTCCTCCCAACCCTTCAACATTTTCTCGGAACAGAAATCTTTCATAAAGTTAGCTCGTGCTTGTGTTCGCGTCAGAATACTTACATGCGAAATTTGGGTCATCAAACTGCACATTTCTGAGTCCAGCTTTGTACAAGATGTCCAACTCTGCACTGACAGCTTTCGAGATATCTGAAAAGTATTCCTCATCGTTTGCGTATACTTCTTTAGGGAAAGCCTTTCCATCCTTATATCTAAGATGATACCACGGTGGGGCAATCATTGTCAGTTTGATATCACCCCATCTCTCTTCATGAACAAGAGTTTTTAAATACTCGAATTGACCAATGAGTGTCGACTTTCCAGTGTGCTTTATTTTGCCGGTGCAGAGGCAAGATTGACCTGGCTTGTGACCTTTCTCGATGAATCCAGCGATATCAGGAACGTATGGACGGAAAATATCCATAGAAGGGTTGCGAATTTCGGTCATGCCGTCGAGCTCCTCGAAAAACGTTCCCCAAAATACAGCGCGTCTGCCATCCGATTTAAGTAAGCATATGTGCCACAGTTGACTGTTTAATAACATTATGCGAGACAACGAACCGATATTCCCCATCACTGACGGCCCTAAATCCGCACTCTTTTTGTAGCTCTACTACCTGCTTGATAGAATCATTCTCAATTTGTGTAAGTTCTTCCTGGCTTAGATTATTCTTCTCAAAAGCACCACGCTTGGTGAGAAGCTCTGCTGGGCGAAGAAGAGAACCCAAATGTTCGGCGCGAAAAGGGGGATTATGATGAATGGTCGCCATTTTGATGTATCTTATGATGAAGATAGAAATATTCAAGAAGCAGAAGAAGTTTGGATACCCAATCTTCAATAGTGGAAAGAACAATACATATACTTCACCTCCCCCGCTCGACTCCGCACCAGCCGCTATCACATCCGCAATACCTACATGAGTGCAACATCGGCAAATGATATATATGATCTTATTGGGAACGGAGGCAGTGGTATACGATATATCTACCACATCAGAACCGAAAACTTCCCTCAAAAAGTGAGGATTCTGAATACCAAGACGCTTAGTGCTTGTGAGGTTGTTGATAAACGATTTACGATGTCCGATAGTCTCAAGCTTTCATTGGACTGAGGAAATACTGCGGAGATAACAACGGATAAACGTTTGCCGATAAAAAGCTAAGCTCTATCTATTATCCTGCGCGTATTCGTGCTACAAACTATTAATACACCACCCACCCTGATTGCAGTCAGATCAGCGTGACAAGGCACTCAATCTACATGAAGCAACGGTTATCTATCTGTTTGTCCTATTGAGGGCGACGTGAGAAATTGAACCCCGCATGATTCATCCGGAAAAATGTATCAAATGCGATCAAATAGACGGCGCGCCGCCAAAACGGCTCATATACATTATGCATGTCGTAGGTGTGCGTTCTTATCACTGATTCGCTCCATGAATCATGTATGATCTAGATTTCTTTCTTGTACGCTGATTCTCTCGTATTCCGCAACAAACGGATGTCAATGAAGCAGTTGGTTGGGCGACACGCACAATCTTTGTGTCAACCCTGCGGAAGCTGTCAATTGACAGCTATAGTGGGGTCAGTTGGAGCATCTACTGCGTCTCTTACATGACATGGTCACCGCCAATTCGGCAGCTCAACATCGCGCTTGTATATGCTCCCAACATTCACTGAGCTTCAGTACCATTTATTCGCTCTCATGTCATGTCGAAAGGAGTGAGCTACTGAAACAGAAACCCTATGAGGCCTAGGCCTAACATGATGCTCTTACCAGTGGCCCTGCGGGATCGCGGGTACTAAAGCTTAGTGGGGGTTGAGAGGCTTAGGGTTGGATTAATCCTGCAAACATTTTGATCATCATCAACCCTTTTATCTGTTTTGCCACACATCTAACTGCATGAGTCGTCGATAATTCACTATCGCAATTATGCGAGATACCAACCACTATCCTGGGAAGCGCGTATTTCCTTCTCAAAATTCGCGCAGCTCCTTATCAATCCTAATTGACTATAAAATTTCTCTTATCAGCACCTTTTCTCAATTGTTCTGTATGACTTTTATCGCAAAATTTCAAAAATAATCCAGGGAGGATGCAAGTTCAAAGCATCGTTGCAGAAGTCGTTGGACTTGCTGCCATCGGAGGTTTTACACTGCCATCGATTGTAACGATCTTACGTACTCCATACCGACGAAAGGGTACTCCAAGTTGGGGTGACGATAAAGATGGAAGCACAACTACGTCCAGCGAGAATAGTTTTAACTCCAAGGCCCCAAAGATATGCTTGTCTATATTTATTATCTTGGGCGTCTTAACATTTGTTTTGAAAACCCTTCAATTTGGTAGTACTACTTATTTCCTTGAGCAATTTGCAACTAATGTTGTGGGATGGGTGAGTGTTTGATCTAAAGTATCTCGCAGTAGTGATGCTAATTGTGATAGTTCTTGTTGACGATTCAAGTGTTCGCTGTATGCTACACAAAAGATACCATCGTGAGCTACACACAAGGCACATACATTGCAGCTTCCTGCTTTGCATTCCTTTGCATGGTCATTGTAGAGGATCAAGAAATTTTGACAAGCGCATGGTCGACTTCTACTGCGCTATCTATTGCCCAGATGACTACTCTACTTGCTGTTGGGACCGCGAGTATATCGATACCACGAAGACCGCAGGTTTTCTATCACGGGAGATTGGTTCTAAATGAATTCAACGTTTCTTTTCTCACTCGATTCTCATTCTCGTCAATAGAGTATTTGCTCACGAAGGCGAAGCGGCAAAATACTTTAAATATAGAAGAACTACCAACAATGCACTACGCAAAAAGATCAAAGACTCTCAGTCATGCATGGATGGCTAGTAGTAGCACTGGCCGACTGTGGGTCAGGCTGTTGAAGGTGTACAAATATTCACTTATTCTACAGATCATTCTCGGATTAATCCATGCTTTTCTTGCCATTGGCCCACAACTAGCAATTTTCAAAATACTAAATGCAATGGAATCCGGGAAAACTGGAAAACAGCTAGGATTCTATATACTGGCGTTTGGGCTTGCCACTGTTCTAGCTTCCTGGGTTGAAGGTATGTGCCCATCACCAAAATCTGTCTCTCTCAACATCTAGCTAACATTGAATAACAGCCATGCAAGATATTACAAGCACGAGCCTAGTTTCTGTTCCAATGCGAGCTCAACTGTCAGCTTTGATATTTGAAAAAACTATGCGGCGCAAAGACGCAAAAGGCAGGCCTGCAATGGCGGAAAATGAGAATGGGGTCTCTTCAAATGAGATAGACCCTGACAAAACTTCTCAGAAAATTCTCAATTTGATTGGAGTGGACACCGGAAGAATTTGTGATTGTGCCAGGCAAACGTTCGAAATCGTTCAAGCTCCCGGCCGAATCATCATATCTGTAGCGTTCCTGGTTACGTTATTAAGCTGGCAGGGAATTTTACTTGGCTTCTGGTACGTCACTTACTTTATAATACTGTCTTAGAAATTTTTGTTCATAACCCCGAAACTAACTTACTAGTTTTATCATTGTAACTTTCCCCGTTACACGGCGCTACGCAAAGAAGTTTACAGTCTCGCAGGGATTTCTAATGCAGACGAGAGATAAGAAAGCTGCAATCATTGGTGAAGCTCTTCAAGGGTTCCGCCAGATCAAATTCTCCGCTCTTGAGGACCGATGGGAAAGATCTATCATGGCAATGCGAGACGTCGAGCTTACAGCAACCTGGGATGTGCTAATGTCCAGAATAATGTTGATTTCATGCTGGATTTTAAATCCACTCATGACCGCCGCCATTGCACTAGGAGTTCACTCATATATATACCAACAACTAACACCCGCACAAGCGTTCACTGCCATTGGTGTATTTCTGCAATTGGATCATTGCATGCAATGTCTCCCCAACATTATCACACAGATGATCGCTGCCAACGTATCGCTGCAACGTGTTGAGAGTTTTCTTAATTCGCCAGAACTCGGGAACATTCTTTCTAGCCCAATAGAAACACTCGAACCTACCGACTCCGATTTGCCTGTGATAGTTTTTGAAAATGCGAGAATAAGCTGGCCCACCGACACCGAGTATGTAGATAATGAAAGTGATCGGTTTATTCTTCGAGATATCAATATCTCATTCCCAGTTAACAAATTGACAATCATCTGCGGGAGAACCGGGTCCGGAAAGAGTTTGTTATTGAGTTCAATGCTTGGCGAAGCAGAACTTATCTCTGGCAAAATTAGGGTACCGGAAAGGCCACTCGATTGTTATGACCAACACGCGAATAAAAACAACTGGATTGTTCCGAACTCGATTGCTTTTGTTGCACAGATACCCTGGATAGAAAATTGTACAGTCAGAGAGAACGTTCTGTTTGGCCTTCCGCTAGATTTGGATCGTTATGAACAAGTCATTGAAGCTTGTGCTCTGACCCAAGATCTCCAACTCCTGTCAGACGGGCATGAAACGGAGATTGGGACCGGAGGAATCAATTTAAGTGGTGGCCAGAGAGTAAGTAATACATGCCTGTACTCCTCGTCGCATCTCGACTTTTCCGTTGCCGCCAGACTCAACTTCATGACACAAAACTGACTTATTGGCGATCTAGTGGCGATTAACTTTGGCAAGAGCCTTGTATTCACGTGCTGGAATTGTTTTGCTAGACGATATATTTAGTGCTGTTGATGTTCACGTTGGCCAGTTCATCCTTAATAATGCTCTAGTCGGCAAGCTGAGCGCCGGCCGTACTATCATATTAGCAACACACCATTTATCTTTGTGCAAATCGCATGTCAAGTCTATCGTAGAGCTTGAGGATGGCGTTGTCAAGCAATTTTCTAGCGTTCAGGAATTGGAAGAATATCTTGGTGCACCCGTCGAAAGCCTAGATGATACTGACGATAATCTAATTGCTATGGAAGATGATTTAAAGGAAGATACCATCGTAGGTACATCAGGCTGCAATTCTCCGACAACAAAAAAGACCGATCCTCTCAAGTTTGTTTTAGACGAATTTCGCAAGGAAGGAAACATCGGATCTTCAGTTTATTCAAAATGGCTCAAGTCTTGTGGTGGATGGACTATCGGAATTATGTTCCTTCTGATTTATACCATGACCACCTTATTTAATCTTGGTAAGATCGCTTCTTCTTCACAATGATTCATGAGGACAAACACTGACACTTATTTTTAGGCCGAACATATTGGCTTCGATTCTGGACCAGTACTGATGGTGAGAACGAGCGCAATTTACATGCAAGATTTGATCAACCGCAGATTTTTATGACTTCTTCGACGTTTGATAGAAACGGTACCGTCCCATCATCTGATGTATCAGGAAAACACAGCACAACCTTTTATCTCGGAATATATTTTGCCCTATGTATTGCCATGAGCATCTTCCGTATCTACGGTTATATTTATGCATACAAGCAATGCATTCGAGGTTCCAAAAAGCTCTTTAAGACAATGTTATTCAAAGTTTTAAGAGCTCCTCTGCGTTGGATAGATACTGTTCCATTTGGAAGGGTTATGAACAGATTTACCACTGACTTCAACACAGTCGACTTTGATATTGTTGTAAGTATGCCTATTTCCATCTATGTTCCCCTTGATTGGTTGGCTGGCACAGTCTATTCTATGGAGTTTTTTACATTGGAATGCTCTCATTTCTGACATATTTACCTTAGGATACGCTCACATGGGGAGTCGGTGATGTTTTCAGGTTATTCGGCATAGCAATTGCAGGGTAAGTAATAGACCCTCGTTGAACACACCTCTGCTAATGAGATGAAAAGGATGTTCTTATCACCATATGTAATATTGTTGACAGTTGCTGTATCTACATTCTCCGCATATTTAGCGCTCCAAGCTATAACAGCCGCGAGAGCAATTAGACGCTTGGATTCGACCAACAGATCACTCATATTTGAACAATTCCGAACTATTTTGATTGGAATCACTACCATACGGGCTTTCGAAAAGAGAGATGTTTACCTTGAAAAGGTATATCGTAGGATTGACGATGGAAGCTCAACACTTTGGAATACCACTTTATGTCATAATTGGCTCGTTTGGAGAATAGGAGGCATGGCTTCGGCGGCATACACAATGTCAATCGCGGCGATTGTAGCCGCTACTGTGACTGATGCAGGGCTTGCTGGCTTTGTCCTTGCTATATCTCTGGAATTTTCAAGTGCCCTATTTTGGTCACTCTTCCATGCAGGTTTCCTGGAATTACGAATGAATGCGGCGGAGCGTGTGATTGAATATACGGAGATGCCTACAGAGGCGTTAGATGGCGAAGAGCCTCCCGCAAGTTGGCCAACAGCTGGGCGCTTGGAAGTGAAAGACTTAGCCGTCGCATATAACCACGATTTGGAGCCTGTCTTGAAAGGATTGAACTTCAGCATTGATCAAAAAATGAGGTGAATACCCGGATTTTTCCCTCCACTAAATTTCAAGTCTAACATGATATTAGGGTCGGTATTGTTGGTCGCACTGGATCCGGGAAATCTACGTTAACATTGGCACTCTTCCGTTTTCTGGAAGCGAGAGAAGGCAGCATTATTATTGACGGCTATGATATCTCGAAGCTAAAACTACAATCTTTGCGCCGTAATCTAGCCATCATTCCTCAAGATCCAGTGTTGTTTTCGGGTCAGAGCTCTCCAGATTTTCGAAAAAGAAAATACACTAACATGATCCTAGGCACACTTCGGAGCAACTTAGATACAGATAATGAATACGATGATACAGTGCTCTTCGACGCCCTTCGCAGAGTTCATCTCATCAATGAATCTGACTCGGGCATTGCGACTCCATCATCGAACACATCTCAAAATCAGAACATTTTCCTCTCTTTAAACAGCTCCATCGCCGAAGGTGGTCTTAACCTTTCCCAAGGCCAACGTCAACTCCTCTGCCTCGCACGTGCTATTATTCGCCGCCCAAAAATTCTTATTCTCGATGAGGCGACGTCTTCTGTAGACGTTCAAACGGATGCACTTATTCAGCAGAGCATTCGTGAGGAATTTGTAGATAGCACGCTGCTCGTTATTGCACACAGACTTAGTACGGTAGGAGATTTTGATAAGATTTTACTAATGAGTGATGGGAATGTAGCCGAGATGGGAAGTCCAAAGGAATTAATTGAGAGAAAGGGGATGTTTTGGGGTATGGTGAAAGAGAGTGGAGAGGCGGATAAATTGGTTGGTATGAGTAAGAATTCATAGAGGGTTCTGGTCAAATGCTCTCGTGCATGTTGAGTAGATTAGAATTAATGCATGCAAGAATATCAAAAATATATTTCTTCACTGTAACAGGCCCTATTTTTTCATTGCGAAGCACTCCTCCGATGTCTTATTGGAGACAAGTATATTTCGCGAGTTTCCGAGAAACTTAATATCACAGGAAAATTACGTTTGAACTTGACAGAAGATCTTCCTCAAAATTATCTTCATTTAGTATACTATTCTCTCCACCCTACATCTTTAAAATATTTACTGGAAATCACCTCACCTCCCTACAACAAAGACCCAAAATCTGACTCCTCCATCGCCCAGTGTTCGAAACTCAGGTTACGGGAATAGCACGATGACTAAAAACACTAGTCCGACCCAGAGCTGCTCTCCAAACCGGCTTACTTTCACTAAGAAGCACTTTCTCTCTCAAAGCACTCGCGTTACGACATTGATGCTCATGACCCATCCCATCAATCCCATCCACCACTTTGCCCATGGCGTTCGTCGTGGGTTTCGGAACTTCAAGCGTATCATCCGCCGTGCATATGATTCCCTAATCGACAGTACAAAGTCAGTTTAACAATACTTTCATGCCCAAACAAAAAAAGATAAATCACCCACCTGCGCAATATAATCCAAACAATGCAAAAAATGCAGCGGATTTTTCGACCACTCTGCCCCCTGAACCTCATGATCATGGTTCATCGGCCCCCCAAATAACATCGTCCTAATCATACCCAAACAATGCAGTTGATGAAACATGGTCACTCCATATCCCTTCGTCACCCCTTCTCCTTCATCTACCATGATGAAGCCGCCGTTGGGAGTGAGAAGGTATTCATCCCAGTCTACGTCCTCGGAGTCTCCAAGTGCGGCTTCGAGTGCGGGGATGGGGGTGAAGATCTTGGGGTGGAATTCACTTGCTGGAGGGGGTTGGGGAGCGCCGTTGGTGTGTGTGTGGGCTTCGGGACAGATTTGATAGACGATGAGGTTTTGGACGGGGGCGAGGAAGGGGAGGAGTTGTTTGTGGGCTAGGAGGAAGAATGTTGATATGATTGCTGTGGAGAGGAAGATGGTGTATAAGATGAAGCGAAGGGGTGAGCTAGTGGTGGGTTTGAATTTGTTTTCCATGGTTGCTGTGGATGTGTGAGTTCTAGTATCAGATTTTCAGAGTCAAACGGCAGGAGCTATCTTTTCATGACTACAGAATAAAAGCAATGGGGCTTACATATACAGAGCCTTATGCTATAACGGCCGGAACACACCTAGATCTTCAATCTGGAAGCGAGGATCTAGGACGAAATGAAAGCCATAGAGTTTTTATGCTTGGAGAAACGCAAAAGACTGTCTACTGACCACGTCTCTGAATACTACTATGAGAGTGTAGGCGGTCCATCAGTCATTCGGAGCAGAACCTTGAGACAACCTCTGATATTCAGAGAATCCCGAGTATTACACAAATTGTATACTTAACACTAGAGTATACATCGGGATCCGAACGAGCTTTAGTTGGCTCCAACACTGATAACCCGAGGCGCTCTCCAAAAGGTCATCAATCGCACAATGAAAGAATTCAAACATCGATTCGGAAATCGTATCGTTATCTTCGTAGAGTGTCTAAACCTGCTTTCAATCCTAAGATCCCCCCTTACGATAACTATCCTTGCTTCAACGACTATCTAATCTCTAGCGTATGTCGCACACGTATATACACGTTTATTTTCCATCAAAACCTATCCAGATAATCGAGGCGACTACCGATTGTGCAATGCTGATAAGAAAATCATGTTGTGTAGCGAGCAAGCGAGGAGGCGAGACCAATAAAGTTCGACATGACGATAATATCAGACATCAATTTTCTTATCGACACGTCATATAAATTCCTATTGTGCTATTTTCGATGAGCTGATTGCTACAAGTAAGTGATCATGAAGGGGCGGGATTTATAGAAATTATACAGAAAGATAAGGATACTTTGTGTGCTGGCGGAAGCTGTGTTGGGTTCTCTGCAGATGCGTTTATGTTGAAGAATATGTGATATGACATCTATGAGGGAAATAACCATAAGGGAAAATCAAGATTCTTTGCAAATGCTGTAGTAACACAATTGATCCAAGCCGAAAGTTCTATCTCTTACAGAATTCCGGGGTTGAGCCGTTCCCATATTCTTTGGTTGCTTGACACGCCATATTTCAAAGACCAATATTTATGTTTGTTTTCGTGAAAGCTGAGTGTGAGATTTTGAATTCTCAATCTTCATCAGAACTTCTCCTTCCTTTATCCACAAGTCCAAATATCATGTCAGCTTTATACAGTCCCGAAGCCACAAACTACGAAGGTCTCGAGGACCAAAAGCTTCCCAAGTCAGAGAAAGAAGATAATGATGACTTCTCCAAATCAGACGAAGAAGAGTTGTTCCTCGAGCAACATGACTTTGTCTCTTATCAAAAACAACACAGCAATAAGCGAAAAATCTACATCGTGGCCGCTGTCGCTACATTCATTGCTCTCGCATCAATCACATTCGGAACATACTCGACATTGCGTTTTCAGGCCCTGAAGCATAGTCATAATAGCGAGTCTACTCAGCAGCCATCACAATCAGAAGCTCACTCCCACGAAAGCCACGGAGGAGGCCACGAACACAAACATGAGCATTCTCCCGTCTCATCCACCAAAACCAACTATTCCACACGCCCGGACTTAGATTGCGGTGATAGTGAAGCCACTGCAAAAGCTGCAGGCTGCACCTTCAACGTCATGGCATTTTCCTATGTTCCAGCCGCATGTAACGGGAGTGAAATCATGAGCTCCTTCGTCGACAAGCATGCCAATCTACCTCTGGACGGGGCCGGAATATTCCCCTGGTACCGCTGGTCCAACCGGACCGAGCCCGTTCCGCAAGATGCAGACGAGCTTAGTAAATATCCATTTATTTGGACGACCCATGAATGGCACATTGCGCATTGCTTATACAATTGGGCATTAACTACTGATGCAATTTCGAGGGTTCTCGACAACGAGAAAGATGTTTGGATCTTGCAGGATGCAGTTCAAGGGGGTCATATTGCGCATTGTAATGGTTTGGTTTCTGATAGAGTGACGAGTGGTCTGACGCCTTTGAGAGCTTTCAGGGCAATTGGTCGTTGTGTAAAATTAGACACTGACAGTATCGCCCCTTTGAGCAATGATACTTATGGAAGTCATGTGGATTGAGATGTTCACGTTTTTTGTTTGGCGCAAGGATTTCCAGATTTATGCAAAGATATACAAGAAAATTAGTATATAAGTCAGAACCTGAGCCTACCTTATGGGCTATAAGCAAACTTTACACGGTTTACGTGATATAGAGCCATCCATTTGCGCAGTATTTTGGCTTACTATCTACCAAATGTGAAAATAGACCCAACGTGGAAGCCCAAACAACACTCGTGATAGTTCAAAGATAGACGTTATATACTTCAGCATTTAATAGTAAAAGACAAATAATTGGATAAGAGGCAGCCATAAATGAAGAGCTTGAGTTTCGCATAAATGCTTTGAGAAACTGCCTTGAGCAACCAAATATGTATGCTTGGAAGTCTTCAGTCCTTCACTTGATGGCCTAGGTGAAACCACTTCCATATGCTACATGTATGTATCCCAATAAATAAAAATGCTTAAAGATAAACCAATCTCACCAAAACCAAAGGAAAACTCATGGGTGAGCACTGGGTCGATATGGAAACAGTCAATCCAGAGATAAGTTCATCGTTCATAGATATTTCATGTAGTATACCTGCTGTATCAAGTCACTCTTCAAACTCCACACTCATTTCAATATCTTTCCATGCTTCCCGCAAGAGCGTATAAGAAAGTTCCGCCACTATGCCACGACCTTCGATTTCAATGACTTTCTCCTCTTCCACAAACCCTAGATTTCTCAATATCGAGCGCATTGGTTCATTATCCCTCATTGTTCCAGCGACAGCTTGGAGACCAAAATTAAGAGTCAACTGAGTCAAAGCACTAGTCGTTAACTTCCCCAATCCCTTGCCCCTCACCTCCTTATTCAGAACCACGCCGATGTTTGCGACTCCTGGCCTGACCACAAAAATATCTCCAAACCCCACAACCCTACCATCAACTTCAACGAGGATCTTCAGACAATGAAAGTCCGTATTAGACTTGTCGTATTGATCATACATGTTGTCTTTCCATTTCGAGATAGCAACCTCATCCCAGACCTGGTCCTTGCTGTCTTGCAATTTATTGTTATCGGCGTTTGTCGCAAGGGGGAGCCAGACATTAAAGTGAGATGGTGTTGCGCGGAAGAATTTGAGAGTTGGGTGTGATGGAATGGTAATTATCCATTTCTTGGTGAAGAAATTTGGGCGGTAGTCTGAGGGTGGGGGTGAGGTTGAGGAGGAAGACATTGGAATGGCTGCTATATATCGGCTTAATGAATGAACTTCTACCATTGGGTGAAGGTAAAAACTCTAGAAAATCATTATAGATTATTGTAGACTTACTTTTTGAATATCTGGGAATTTCTGAGATGCTGATACTGCTGCCTCAAATGAAATGAAATGACTGATTGATAAAATCACGATGACTCAGATTGTAGAGGAGAAAAGGATTAAATTAACAGAGTGTGATTTGAAAGTCAGCAGAAGCGAAGATAGTTCTGCGTTACAAGAAGCTGTAAGTCAACTTTGTGCACTATATTATCATGATCAAGTGGAAGTTCAGTTGAAGAGTTCGATAGGAAATACAGAACCGGTATTCTGGTATATGTACTTTGATTTGTTGAGGTAAACTTTGTGAATCGTAACTTCCAATTTATGGAAACCGTTCTTCTCACTACCTTCCTAATTAGGTGATAAAAGATAGAGGAAACCGCAACACATCATCGTCTTCTTCGATGCTCCTTTCGATCATACCATACCGGCGACAAAAGCGAAAATGTGCATGGTGGACAGGTGTGGTGGCTGTTTGAGTGTTATACTTAGAAGCACGTCAAAATACTCGTGGTAGATTATTTTCACGCCGCCCTTTGTATCGGTTCTTGTTTGACTCCCATTTCAAGTGTGTGCATCTCCTTCTCACATCTCACAGTAAGGTTGGTAGCAATTGAAGTAAAAGGAGGAGGACTTTGATCAAGCTCTGTATTTATTCAAGACAATGAGATTTGATTAGGTAGATAAGATAAGATATAAGGTTAACCTTTTTCACATAATCGAGCTAGCCATTTTGGACCTCCTGAATCACACCTAGTCTATTCAGACTCTGTCATCATGTAATCACTCGAGAGTCAAAATGAGTCGAATAGATGTTTGAGAGTAAAACTTTATCACATCGGTTTCACGTTCTAAATAGTCAATTCTTCCGCAGTCTTAAAAAGCTTTGATTTACCAGCAAAAGGAATGACTGTTCCCTCACTAATACATCATCATACTCTATTTCCCATTCTCTGCGCTGATTGGTCAATTCGATATCAATATCCAATTAACTTCGATGACTCTTTCCCGCTCAGACAATATTGGAGCAGATGCAACTTTTGAGAAAGCTTCGAAAGTGGAGTGAGCGGAGAAACTACACGGTACAAGCTCAAGTATGTTCAATTATCTCAATTAGAATCCGAGAAGAGACACAAGTCTAGATCACAATGAGTCTAACTAATGACATATCACACGGATCATTGTATCAAAATTTTCATCACCAATTTCGTTCTGGAGAACTCGGTCCAGGGAAAAAGAGGTATTCCGACCCAACGGGCCGGGTTGGCGGTCTAAGCCTTTTCTTATACCGACACGTTAATCTAGTTGCGGAGTTTAGTGCGAGGTGTGGCTGGGATCTGGGTACTCATTCACAGGGCCGAGTGGTGAGGCACGGAGTAGTAAGATCTTAGTTCTACGGTCTAGGAAGTATTGTTCCTGCTTACATAGTAGTTTTTGAAGTATTGTTAGATTTGGAGCTATGTGATGAGAGGGGTTTCGTTTGGATGGCTGGATGCATAAATCAATTTACAAATACAATTTTGCCTTGGCTACCTAGCTGGCGATCACGATATGACACCAGGACCACAACACCAACACCCACCATGTCAACATCGGAACTTCCCACAAAACAGACAAAAGAAGACAAGAGATAGATCAGAAATCAGGCAGCAGATCACTAGCCACGAGAAGCCACGGAATACCTGCATATCAGACACACCCTTTCGCAATCCATTCGTGTGTCTTTCGTAATGGGACTACTCATACGTAGTTCGGTATGGTTGGTACCTGCACATGCCGATTTCCAGTCGATCAGTTGTCGCGGCACAATGAAGTACACAAATATCTATAAGTGTTCATTTGTTTGTTTGTTTACGAGCTGACAGTATACGTGTACTCAAAACATCACCTGTCAACTTGCGGGACAATCAAGATTTCAAATAGGAATGCTGAACGATAGGAAATGGATATCCTGATATCTGGGACTTGGGGAATACCAAGCACAGAGCCATATGAATAGAGAATGCTGAATAATCTCACATTGAATAAAAACTATGCTCACCAAATGAATGACGCATCTCCATGCCCCATACTCTAAGAACCCATGCAGGTTCTCCTCACCATCCTATCCCATCCCAAACCAAGCTCCCCGAGTACACCTCCTCAACCTCACCAGTCCACCACCAAACCCTGAGTCATCCGGCCTCACTCCCACGTTTTTTGCATCACCGCTACAGCGAGCCAAAGCTGACTTAGCCAGAAACAACGGAATATCGCATCAACATGTGAAGTGAAATAAGCGAACTCCGACCCCTTCATCACCCATACCCATTTTTCCATTTCCACCCTTTCTACACATCCACACTCACCTTTCGAGCATCCAACACATGCAAAGCGTGTACGCGGCCGGCGTTCTGATTGTTCTAAAAAAAAAGTCATGTATAAGAAATTTTTTGATATGCATTGTTTGCATGGTTTGTTGGCCGGTAAGCATACAGACTCCCTATACCGTACTTGTTTTCATTCCTAGACCGGGGCGGGTGAAAATGAGGCAAGCATGGGATGAGAAAGTTTTTTAGTTTTTTTTTTCTCGACATCTTGCTTAGAATTGCTTAGTTGCTTGATTGCTTAGCGGGCGGAGTTTGCATGAGATGAGATGAGATGGGACGGCGTTGGAATTCTGGATTCTCGGTTTGTTATGACTGTTTTGCTTTTTCTGGGTTCACCTTGTTGGAGTGGAGGTACATGGACGGGTGTCATAATATTTGGAGTCTGGGGCTGTGATGGATTTGAGTTGGATATATATAGAGGGAGAAATGTCTCAATTATAAAGGCCTTCTCATTATCATCATCATCATCATCATCATCATCATCAATCAGACATAAGAAGATATCAATACACATAAAAGCAACACTACTATCTCAACATCAAATTCATTTTTCAGAGTAAAAATTCAACGATCACCAACCTCTCAAACATCATCACCAGTACATCTATAAAAATGCCTGCCGGATTCCCCGCCTACCCAGCTTCTCGTATGTTCCCATTCCTCCCTTCTCCATCCCATAAACTCAACTAAAAAACCCCAGGTTTTCCAAACGAAAAGCCCCCAACGCTCTTCCATCCCTCCTCCCCCAAATCCCCAAAAGCAACACCCGTCTCCTACTCCACCTCTAGATCCTATACTGCTGTATCTTCCTTCTCTCCAAAAGACTCAATGGATACCACCACCACATACACTCCCGCGAACGACAACTCTTCACTCTACAGCACCACTTCTACCATTTTTCTTTTGAAGCATCCGCTTAGTACAATCAAAGCAAAGTTCTCGCATAAGGAGCATTCGAATAGGGAAGCAGCGAAGTCGAATGAGAAAACCTTGATTGATCCCTCAACGCCAAGTGAGAAGACACGTACGTTCGACCCCAAAGCCTGATATGATGGATATGAATGGAATGATATGAGGCTGACTTGATTGGATTGGTAGCGAGACAATCACTCACGGAAACGTATATGATCATAACTATGAAGTAATCATAGCCGGCGTTCAATTTGTCAATTTGTTTGGATGGTGTTGTCACCGCATGCCGTTGGAATTTGGGGATTTTACGATATTGCTGTGATATTATACATCTTTTGGCATGGTTCGGTGGAGTTTTTTTTGAATCATTGGTGACATACTGGCAGTGTCTGGATCAAAGCCAGATACTTATGAAACAGTCCTATCGTAAATGGGA